GCTGTAAAGAAGAATACTGTCATTATATTGAAAAGTGATTTCCGAACCCGTACTTGATGGAAGAGCGACAAGATGTCTGTCTGCTTTAATAATTGTGCACTCGGGCGTAAAAAGTGTCACCTCTTGAATATGAAGAAGTTTACCTGGAAGGCGTGATCAAAAAATGCAAGTCCAAAGTCTCAAAGACTGCAATATATGCAGGTTTTTGCATAACAGGTATTGAAGTGTTCGGGCATTAGTTCACGCGATGTTTGAAAGACCCATGATGGCTTCTGTAACCTCCCTTCATCATAATTGTGATTTTCTTGCAGCAGTTTTAAATTGGAAAGTACCTTTGCTTTACTCAACCACGAAATTAGACCTGAGAGTCGATCTCGTTACCAGCACGTCTGTTCAAATCACTTGTTGTTGCTGAAAGTTACTAAATCAAACTGCCATTTGATTAAAAGCCACGCCATTTACTACTTTGTGCATCGTAAGGTGTTAAGAAAGTAAAGCATCATTTTGACGAATTCGGACAGTGTGAGCTCTTTTATTGGCAGTAATAAGGAAACAGCGTCTCAAAATGTGGAAATCGCATCTGTAAAGACAGTTTCTTTAGAGGGAAACCGAGTCTCTGAACCTACGAGGCCACCGCGAAAGCTTTGTATGCGGACCGATTTTATGAAAACTGATTCGGCACAATTGCAAGCAATTCGGCAAAAAATTGTTGAATAAATAGAGCTGTAAACCAGGCAAGAAACGGTCCCGAGCAAAAGAGTGTTGCTGTACATGTTTATGGACGCGTAAATCCCAATAGACTTAATTCAGAGAAAATACGCTTCCCTGCTTGTGCTTTACTCAAGAAACAGGGGATTTGATAAGTTGAGTGATTTGCGATGACCTTGACGCATTTGCCAGCAATTCGAATGCCAAAATCCGGACCGAATGCACTATAATATCCTGTTTGTTTAAATCTTTACTCAGTATGGGCAGGCCTCCCAGTGATTACAGTAACCCAAGCCCTACTGTCTCCCGACAGTACGAATTCTGTCTGAGTTTTATGTCCTCCTCCTTGTCGTGCTTGGCTGACTAAACCTGAGAGACCGTAATTTCATCCTCAAAATTGTTAGCACTGTGATGTCTTAGGAAGTTTTTACAAGAGAAAGAAACTTAAAAGTAGAACAAGTCAGTGTGCGTGATTTCCTTTTAAGGATAGAATTAGGCTAGCTCGCTTCGGGAGTTACAGATGGGTCCTTTCACATGCCTTTGTTTAGCAAAGTTAACTGTAACTTTTTGAGAAGAGGACTGCTGTGTGCACTTCAAATCTTTGAGACTAAATACAGAATAAGAATAATCTCATAGGAAGTCCTCTTGGATTTGCATGGACACTTGACAAAGTCCGTCCGTTTCCACGTTACATGTAGCGAGGACACATAAACGAGTGGCTTAGCATTGTACTAAAATACTGATGTCTGAGTGATTAAACTGCCACATTTTGAACAGAAACGTTTTTTTCTTCTAAGAAGAAATAGAGCCGACTCCTAGCATGGCAGAGCATGAAAAAGGGAACAACATAAAAGGGTTATCAATTGCCTTAAATTTTGGAATGCATCTGCTTCTGGACTGTAGCAGAATGATGTTCGTGAATGCCTCAGAAGGTGAAAGCCACCCAGAGTGACTTCGGCAGCGTCTGTTGTTTGTCCTAGAGGGTTTGCAAGTGAGCAAAGGAAAGTGGATGTAGTTTAATTTTAAAGTTACTCTTTGCATAATGCTTGCAATTTAGGAGATACTCAAATGTGCTCGTTGGTTCACCAAATTACATTATTCCTACCAAAACCTTACACCCATTAATTTAAGTCGAAGCGGATGAAGAACTAGCCTTGCTCAGAAGTAGACTTAAAGCTTGCAACAAACCTAAAGCGATTCCTGTTAAAATCACTCCCACTTCTGTGCTTCCAATGGCAGCGTCACCTTTAAGTTATTAACTGTAAATCATCGTTTGCATAAATGAAGAGCAGTTCATGAAAAATTCATCCGCGTAGCCGAATGTGGAGACGACCGCCTTGCAACACAAAAAGGACCTAAGAATTCGCCTAAAATAGGTCATCCATATTTTTCTCCCATTGACATGGTCTTCAGTCGTAAATCCCCATCCTACGATGCAAACATGTAAAGTGTATTACATTTTTACTAACCGTAGATTTTAGCATTCACCGAGTATAAGTGCATGGTTGTGTTCTAGGCATAACAACACCTAAATGTCTACAAAATAGTCTTGCCCTGAGAAAAAGCAGTAAAGTTGTTCCTGCTGTCAGGAGCAGAAAATGCATGCATTCTGTGAGGGCGCCCCGAATTTTAACACCGCACCTTGAATACTTTCCGCAGGATAAGATCTTGTAACTTACATGAAGAACTTTCAACTGTTTTCCTATTGCGGAGAAAAATGCATGCTGACTTTCAGTTAAACGTTTAAACGATACAGTCTTGGATTGCTTAGGTGTTTGGGATTCCCGATTTTGAGCCTACGTCAACCAACTTGGTCTGTGGATCTCTCCTAAAGCTCCCCAACACATGTGCTCCGATTGTACATTTCCTATCCCATCTTTAGGGAGGCGGTGGAGGAGAGCAAATTCAACTGGTCTGAATTTCCATTTCCGAATTACAAGCTTCAGCAGACATTTGCTGCGCGTGATAAATCGGTGACGCCCTATGGCAAAAGGTTTGAAATTGGTGTCTGTATCCATCAACGACCCCAGTCTGCGATACCAGTGTAATACCGTTTACTGATACCACCATACACCCATTTAATGGATGGAATCGGATGCGGTTGAGCACTTCTAAAGGGTACAACTAAAAAGAACAAAAAGAAAATTGATTTGAGATTTAATATCCGTCCTTTATCACATGATTCTGTTCATGGGTCAAAATCGCTACAACTGTTTGTAAATGCGATGGCCAACACAATTTAACAACTCCTTTCAAAAATTCCACGTAGGGAGGAACTCTACATCTACAAGAGTTGTCGAGGGTATTTGATAACGTATCTGTCAGATACCACCTCAGTTGCATCCAAATTTAAGGATTGGCATATTCGAGCAGTGAAGTCTACTCGTAAAGAACCGACTATATTGTTGTAAGTGACACAGACTTGATGGCCAAAGCGATCATCAAGGCTGTCTATTCAATAACCTATAATTATTTTGATGTGCCGCTTTGATTCTAAAGGTACTTAAGACTTCGCTTCCCCACCTTTTCCGAATAGAAAGGTCTTGAGTCGTGCCACCGGGTCTTGCTGTATGTCCGCAATATGCATTCTGCTCTAGACTCAGTGATATTCTGCTCGTGTACTTTGAAATATAATGCTAGCAAAGTCAGTTTTGGCAGCATTTTTTGCTAAAATAACATTTATTTAAGATGAAATGTTTCCTCAAAACCACTTCGAATAGCCATAATAGGAATGAGAAGTGGATGTCTACAGTAGTAAGCTACAATACAACAACGCCCCAAAATCAAAGGTGATTGTGCATTGTTGATGAGTAAAAAATCTTGGGAACTCGAAGGAAACCAAAATCAGTACAATTTGACCTCGTAAATTGTTAGGTTTTCGCCTCAAATAAAGAAGTGTAGAGGAATCAGCACTCCAGCTGCAGATTACTTCACCCATTGTACTTCCGCCGTATATCTGCTGCTCACAAACGAAGTTGCCTCAATATCCATATCTACTTGCACTTGATGAAATATTACGCTAAAGCCAAATAGTTCTGCGCGAAGTGTTCCGAAACACTGCTGATCAAGTTATGAAATTCGACCAGCGATGCTCACCAAATGAAAATGTGATTTTAATTGAAAATATTCAAATTTCTCTCATTTAAAGCCAACTGAATTCCCCAAGATGGTCTGCAAGCACAGAAGGGTTAAGACAAACCGACTAATCTGGTAATTTAATGAAGCCATCAAAAATATCGATTAAAAAATGAAATGGCTAGCATAAAAAGGGAATAAAACCACAAAAATTAGTTTTTCAGACTATATTTAATGAGTTAAATTATGCTCTGTAAATGCCCTCCCCTTTGCCGATGCTCTTTCACAACGCCTCTTTTGAAGTAAAAAAAGACGAAAGAGAGCAAGTTAACTTGCATCTTGTAACATTGCTCGTCTCATGCAGCTGACCCATTTCAAGGGTCGAAAAGATCTGCAGCCAAAAGTTATCTTTAACGTTAATGCCAAACCAAGACCGAGGTCATCTTGTCTATGTTTACCAACCTAGATTCAAGTAAAGAATTCCATATATAGTTTTTGTTAAACCTATAAAAGCTTAAGGAGATTAAAAAGACAATAGCTACGGTTGAAACGGAATTCATAAATCTACGCGCAACTTATCAAAATAAATGTTATATACTGCACACCTTTTGGACAGGGACAAAAAAGGACAGAATTATTGAATCTGCCCTACACCAGACCCACCTCATGTCCACAAGAGATTGCAAGTGGAGAAGGAGACGGTAATGGGCGTCTCGAGGTATGAAGAGCACGAAGCTTAAGATCTACTGCTCGGAGATGTTCCAGCACCTCGTCTAGACGCAGCGTTCGAGGCAGCTGCGTTGGTGGAGAGGATGTTCCCCCTGAACCACTGGATGAATGCTCTGGTGAATGGGAGGAAGTGTCTCTGGATCCCTGATTTTCAAAGGAGTCAGAGAGGCTATCCTGTGCATCTATAGTTGCTCTTCGGCCGATTGCGGCCAACAAAGCGTGGTGCATCAGAACAAAGTCCTGAAAATCAATTAATAAATTGTAAAAACGTAAAGCTTGTGAAATTCAAACGGATTTCACCACTACAGCCACTACAGCCTACAAGTTAGGAGTGGTAATTCATAGCAATCGGTTTAGCTTAACAACACAAGGCGTATTTCCTAGTCGCATTAAATTTTTTCCATGAAATTAAAACACTGTTTGATAAAAAAAACAGGAAATGACCCAATCGAAGTATGACAGCGCTCTAAGTTGTTTCAATTTTGAGAAGAATGCCTGGACAAATTTAAACAGTACTAAAGTTACTGCACAACACCCTTTGTCGCCACCACAAAAGCAATACCCACATGTTATTTTACCTATCATCCTTAAAAAATGCAAGTGAACAAAGCTATAAGACGCTAATCAATGCAAAGCAATAGAACTGCCGCAGCTTTCCATCACTGTAACAAGTGCATTCCAAAATGATCGCCAAAGACTTCCAACACAAATAGATCATCAAAATATTAATCAGGCTAATCATCTACGGATAAATGGTAAAAGGTCCTGGTCATTAAGATATCTGAGTGACAAATCAAACTCCATCAGTAGATACTAAAATTATATTTGTAGTCAAAAAGCGTTTATTTCATCAAGGTACATAAAACATACCAAAATGCAAAAGTTGCAGCTAGGTTAAAGGCCAAAAATTTTAATCTAGCTTCGTTTAAAAGCTCTAACTTTCACGAATTAGGTTGCAAAGACCCAGAATTTGCAACAGGATTGCTCGACATAAAGTATTCTATACATCATTAGTCCACCGAACATACAAAGCAAGGTTCAAAGTCAATTTAGCAAAATGTATTTATAGCAAGTTATCAGTATGAAAGCATAGTTCATGGTAGTAAACGTACCTTACTTGCGAAGACTATTCTGAAATATTTGACAACCTTTGTCAAATTTCGTATTAGTATTGCACTTGGCAAACAAAATCGATTCA